TACAGTCATCTTAACTGGTATCATACGATAAGGAGCTCGAGATATCAGTGCTGTACCTGACTACAACTCGATACAGAACTCAACCTCTCACATAGAAGGTAACCCTGATGTTAGATCCTAGAGGGTGGTTGAATAGGGTCAATGCTAATCTAATTTCGATTTTATGCTAATTAAAAACTTTCTTGATTAATTAATTCTTACAAAAGATATATGAGTGAGTTATGAGCAAGAATGTAAAATACAAGCACAAAATAAATATACACAATGCAAACTCAAACATAATAATATGATCACGGAGTTCGAACCTTCCGTCCTACGTCTCTGCTCCCTACTTCCGGGAACAATCCACTATCACGACACACCCGGTTTGGAAGCTGGAACTTCTCTACACACTCAATTTTCTAGTTCACCGAAAACTCTACAAGACACTCACAATGAACATACATAAACTATAACCTCAAGTGTTGGTCCTCACGTATCGCCTCCCTCAAGTGCTCAGCTTTACTATCTCTCACTAGGATTTACTACCGACACCACTCCTTTTAGTATCGACTACATTCTCACCACACGCTCCTCTCGGTGTAAATATGTATTACAAAGTGAATCTCACAAATGAAGCTCAAGTATAATGATTTGTTCTCTACCAATGAATGAGAATACTATAAAGCTCGTTCTCACTAAATCACTCACCACTACTCAACAATATATTGTACGAATAATATTAAAAGCTCAATTAAGGTGTGAGTGATAAATAAGAACAATAAAATTCTAACTCAAATAGAACTAGCTAAGATATGAATATGAAAAGGTGTGAGTGATAAATAAGAACAATAAAATTCTAACTCAAATAGAACTAGCTAAGATATGAATATGAAAATCAAATAATAAATAAGCTAGATAAGCTAAGATATGAATATGAAAATCAAATAATAAATAAGCTAGATAAAAGAGTTAGAAATCTTCTCTATAAGCACAAGGACCTTTAGGAATGATGATGAGGAAGAATTCCTTAATTGAAATTAAGAGCTTCCTCCTTGTGAAAAACCTCTCTTTTGAAACAAAACTTAAAACAAGGCTAAAACACCTCTTAAACACTTATAAAACTTGTTAAAACAATTTTCTTAGTTAGTTGGAAACTTGAATGCAATGGGGTATTTATAGCAATCCAAAACATCAGTAAAAACCCAAGTAAAAAGGCCAAAAATTCATTTGAAAACAAAACAGGGAACTAGCTGTTACTATGCAACGGTTATCTTGGCGGTCGACCGCAGCGCCATAGTTGGTCGATCGCGAAAGGATGAAAAATACAACTACGTCTCTGAACAATACCACTCTGGTCGACCGCAGACAGCTAAAAAACTAGAGTTGGTCTCTGGATATTGTGTGGTCGACCGTAGCGACACACATGGTCGACCGAAAACTGAAATATAAAAACAACATGTTTGAAAATGGACTTTGAGCACATGTAAAAAATAATAAATGTTATCCAAAAATTGTGAAACTTTGGGAATACTTTATAAACATAAGAATGGACATATTTGAAAAGAAATTTTTGGAATTGCATTTTTCATTGTAAAAAGTCATCATTTTTGCAAAGTGTACATAACACGTGTTTTACATGAAACTTAAAAATGAATTTTGACAAGTAGAAATATGTTAAAACTTCATGAAATGTTTTTATACATATTATAAAGCATGAAAGTAATATAAACAAGAGCAATAAACCAATATTGCATTGTTTTAACAAATAAACTCATTTTGTAAGAGAAATAAAAAATGTATATGTGTGTGTGTGTGTGTATATATATATATATATATATATATATATATAGAGCTTGAAATATATTCACACAATATACATTACAAAATTACTAATATACACAAGTGATTGAGAATACGGCTTGATCTTGAATATTTAATTCCTTTATATGAACCTATAACAATCTACAATCACTAGCAAACAAGTTAGCTATAAATTGTTTGTAAAATCATCAAAACAAGAGAAGAGTGTAGGCTCAAAAACCAGAGTCATAACACCCGGTATGTCCTGAAAGACATCCTGAAAATCTGAGACGACTCTAATCTCACACAACTCAGCACTCCGATCTTTCAGCATCACCTGCTCAATATATGTTAGAAATGACTTCGCAAACTAGTTGTCTTGTGAGGTCACTATAATCAAATCAGACCCATCGGACGCTCGCAAACTGACTGTTTTTGCAAAATAGTCGATGCTAACATTGTAGGATGATAACCAATCCATACCAAGAATGACATCAAAATCCAATATCCACAAAATGATTAGATCTACAATAAACTCGAACTCATCTAAGCTGATGACACATCTCCTACAGACGCTCCCTAATAGAGATACCTCCACTAAAGGAGTAGAAACGGATAGCGGTACATCTAAGGGATGTGCGATTAACTGAAGCCTATCCATAAAGGCATGAGATATAAAAGAATGGGAAGCTCCGGAATCGAACAGGATCCGAGCTGGAAAAGAGTTCACTAAGAAAGTATCTTTTACTATTGTAGGCATATAAAATTGCTTATAGGTCCATTAGCACAGTTCGGCATAAACCGACGAACCAACGAGGCG